TACTTGTCAATTGATGGTGCGTTCACTGTACTCAAATTTTCTTTTCGATAAATGAATATAAGGAAATAAGTAAATATATAGAGTGATAGAAAATTTCAAGCTCTATGAGAATATATAATTACTCTTTTCAAAAGATCATTCTATAGTGATGAAAAATTTTAAAAACTAATTTTGGTGACAGTGACAAAATGAAGCCTGTGGGAATCTGGACATGAGGGTGCCTTCATTACACTCAATTGTTTTTGATAATATATATATTCAAACGAAAAGACAAATATACAGACTGATAGAAAACTCCACGCGCTTTCAGAATATGTCATTATTTTTTTTAAAATACGCTGCTATGATAACGATATTCCCAAAATACCCACTGCAGTTTATTTTTTCCAGGCGTATATATATATATAGGCATAAAAACATGCTTCTTTGGTTGTCTCATTTTTTGTGTTTGTTAGAGTTTTATTTCAACAATATTTTTCTTTGTGAAAGGGAGCGCCTGTAGGATGAATCAAGGAGGAAGAGCTAGGCTTACGCGTATCTACCCCCTTTTCCTCGCCCAAAATTTTTGTTTTTTTTTCTTCAGCTTTGTGTTTTGGCCATTGTGTCATTTCAGGTAGTGTCTATGTACTGACTATATTTTGGAACCCAACAATTGTCTCTAAAGATTAACGTGTTCGAAAAGAAATCAAATTTACATAACGAAAATGACTAAAATTGTATATTTTTTCCTGCTTTTTCTCAAAATAAAACTTTTAGCAGAAAAAGTATTGCTTCGCCCCCGGTTCTCCGTATGGTAAGAGAGATCAAGCTGAAATTTTTTTCACATATTGTACTCACTATTTGGGATGGATACTTTTTTCCTTCTAAAAAATAGTGCTCTGGTGATTTTTGGTATCTTCCACAAAATTAACTCTAATAATAAAAATAAGTTTTTTGGAGTAGGCTAAATATTTTGACTTTGCTTATTGGAATGACAGGAGATAAAAAGAAACCAAAAGAACCCACCCCAAATAGTGTGTAGTACCTGTAAAAAAAATTTTCTACTCAATTGAAAATACCGTCTTGAGAAACAGGGACTAAAACTAAGACCATTTTTCGCCATTGTGACCTTATTATGTCATAGAAGACAGTCTCCGAGAATTTTCAGTCCATGACAATTTTTGCTGTAATGGTCAAGATCTGTCTACCCTGGAAATCTCAAATTTTTCTGATGAGCCGTACTTAAGAAGCCCTGGAAAGGGAGAAGGCATCCTTAAGAAGTGCATACTTCCTTGTATGTCAAAATCTTTCTTGAATTACTCTATGTGGCGATTTTAGATACAATAGACACTGTTAAGGGCTATTATCCTAATACTTTATTAGTAGAATCAAGATCGCAACTACACTGTATTTTTCCCGCCCCTTGTATACTATTTCTTAGCATAGAAGGACCTTGAAGAATACAGTAAACACAATAATAGAGATATATGAGTTTAAGAACAAACTCAGAAGAGAGCAAAGATTAGGTTACAATTATGGCTAACACTATGTACGAAAGAAGGACACATCGAGAGTATGATTTTAAAGTACATGTAAGAGAAGAAGGAGATAAACACAACAATGGGAAAAGACATTGCGGTTATTCCTTTTATGGGCGACACTATGTACTATGGAAGCCCAACCAGCCAAAAATTTTTCAAAAATACGTTTAAATGTACAAAATTGTTAAAAACCAGCAAAAAATGGACGTTTTTCGCGCTTACTTGCGATTCCCGACTGTGAGCCCGAAACATCCATGGTTTTTGGCAATTTTGTGCATTTAAACACGTTTTCAAAAATGTTTGTCTGCTTGGAAGGACAAAACAATAGTGTCATTCCAAAGTACATATAGAAGAAGAGCGAGCAGGAGAGGGCATTGCGGTTATTCCTATCATGGATAACCTTACGTAAGAGAGAAGGACAAACTAATACCGCCATTACAAAGTATATGTAGGAAAAGAGAATGATAGAAGTATGGATAGATAACAGACAGAAAAAGGCATCGCAGTCATTCCAATCTTGAAAAAGCACCAAATTACAATTTAGGTACAGTTTTTACACTGGACTCTTACTTTTCCGCTTTAAAGATGGGTAAAATAGCCACCGATCCAAAAAGAGCTATATGCAAATCTCGATCGCTTACTAATAATATGTTCCAACAAGTACCTTGTGTCAAGAACTACAACCTACTCTGATTTATTTTGTGTCTATCATACGCAACACAGCAATACGTTCAACGGCAGTTTGAAAAACTGTAATAGATACATTGTCCATGCACTAAACTTGAACGCTAGTGTTCTGTCATTTTTATTTAATTGATACAATAGGCTAAAAGTAAGACAAAAGATGCAATTTCAAGGTTCCCTATGCTTACTATAGAGACCATCAAATAACTGATTCACAATGTGAAGTTCTAGAGACATTAGAAAAAGCTGTTAGCGGAGTTCCTTACGGGATTAAAAATATGAAACATGATGTAGCTGCTATAGCCAATGTTCTAAAAGCTGTTGTTTTTTATGCATACTAATGTACTTTTCTTCATAATGGTTTACCTTACATTATAGACTTTCAACAGGACAATACTCCCTATATGCTTCAATCATATGTTAGTTATGCATCATCTCTGATATTTCCTTGAAGTCTTCTATCACAGTCTATAATGACCCCTGGGTCCTGTCTGTCACGGTCTGTGACGGGTCCAGAGCCCTGTCTGTGATGGGTCCAAAGCCTGTCTATCACGGTCTGTGACGGGTCCAGAGACCTGTCTGTCACGGTCTGTGATGGGTCCAAAGCCCTGTCTATCACGGTCTGTGATGGGTCCAGAACCCTATCTGTCACGGTCTGTGACGGATCCAGAGCCCTGTCTGTCACGGTCTGTGATGGGTCCAAAGCCTGTCTGTCACGGTCTGTGATGGGTCCAGAACCCTATCTGTCACGGTCTGTGACGGGTCCAGAGCCCTGTCTGTCACGGTCTGTGAGGGGTCCAAAGCCTGTCTATCACGGTCTGTGATGGGTCGAAAACTTGTCTGTCACGGTCTATGATGGGCCCAAAGCCTGTCTGTCACCATCTGTGATGGGTCCAGAGCCCTGTCTGTCACCGTCTGTGATGGATCCAGAGCCCTGTCTGTCACGGTCTGTGATGGGTAATTAGTTAACTACATAGTAATTAATTAATTAATTACGATGTCTATCACGATCTGTGATGGATGATTAGCTAATTACATAGTAATTAATTAATTAAAATGTCTGTCACGGTCTGTGAAGGGGGGGGGGGGGGCAAATTTCTACCCCTAAACACTTCAACACTCCTTTCAGGTCGTTGTTAGGTCAACTTTGATATGTTATTATTGGAGCCTAAAAGTATAATGGTCCTACCTTAGAATTGACTAAATATTAATGATGTTGGTGATGATGGAGTTATTGAATAAAAGGCATAATATAAAGGGGGGGGGGGGGTGATATTATTATAATAATAACACCAATAATAATAATAACAATGATAATGGAAGACTATTCGGCGATAATACGATACAACCTTCCACTAGATAGGAGAAAGATCAACTGAATGATATCAAAATCTGAGAAAATTCGAAAGAGAGAGAAAGACAGAACGAAACAGGAAAATCTAACTATAGAAAGAACGAAAGAGAAGACACCAACAAGTGAAAGAATAACAAGAAAAGACTAATTGAACGAAGTTCAATTAAGTTAGCGTCAACATAGTGTCATCTGTTGACGCTAACACTCGTGTTT